CAAGTTTTAGGTGATCACACAATCACAGAAGAGATCAAAACAATAATCAAACAAGCAAGGCGTTTCAAACACAAGTAAAGATTCGTTTTAAGTCTCCTGCAACTTCAGTTTCAAAACCCTAAACACATCTAGGCGATCACAGAATAATCAGCAACCTAATAAGACCTAACTGGGACTTAGTTCTAAAGCAGAAAGTAGGTTATGCTTGGTTTAACCCCAAACTAGACATTCGGAAAAGCAGGGTTCACAATATTCAAGCACAGATTCATCCTCACTTTGGCCTAGGCGGCGAAGGAAGTGACAAAGGGAGGTAAAGAGAAGAGAAGTTGGCGAGGTGCTCCACGGCGGCTAACCATGCCGGGTTAATCCGCCTTCCGGGCTCCTGCTGCGGCGGTGCGTGACTCCGGGAAGACTCCTGCTCGTCATCGATGTGAAACACCAGAATGGGGCGGCTGGACGAAGCGGCAACGGGTCCATCCCGAAGGTGGTGGACTCGCAGCTCCTCCACGGCAGCGGCAGACGATGATGGCTGCTCCGGGAAGTGGCTAGAGTGATCATCAGACGGCGGCGAAGATGAACGGCGGGACATGGTGAGGAGAGAGAGGAAGCGGCGATGAGAGAGAAAGAAAAGGGAGAGAGAAACAAGAGAGAGAAGAGAGTTCTAGGATTTCTCAGTTCTCTGGAAAGTTTAGAATGAAGAAAAAAAATGGGAAAAGCTCTCTATTTATACCCAATAGGAAACTTGGGTAAAAAGTAAAGATAACCACGAAAAAGGAGAAGCTAATTATGAATAAGAATATTCACAATTCTTTTAGGCAAATGTTCATTAATATCACATTAAAAATGTGATATTTATCTAAACCAAGAATATTTATCTCTCGAAAGGAAAAGAAAATATCGAGAAATGGAAATTGGGCATAAACCGTCTTAGTTCGGGACTGAATTTTCCAAACGGGCCTGGTTTGAAAAACCGGGTCGTTACAATTACTTGTAACACCCCCGACCCCCCTACTGGCGAGTCACCCATCCCTCCGTAGGGCTCGTGGGCCCCGCTCCTGTCCGACGGTCGATGCATTATTTTTCCCGGAACCCAACCGACTTATTTACTGACCCTGCAATCACCACATGATCTTTCTCCGTGTTTTGGCCTCACTCACATGGATTCGGGAATCACTTCCCGAAAGGTCACCCATCCTAGTCCTACTCCAACTTAAGCACATTTAACTGTGGAGTTCTCTTGGGACCAGTGATCGAAAAGATAAATACACTTTGGTGATATAGGTAGCCAAATTAATACATTTAAACTTATTCAAATGGGTCGAGCCCGGGTCGTTACAATTCTCCCTCACTAAACGGGAATTCGTCCCCGAATTCTGATCCCGACATTATGAGCCATAACCCACAAACCCTAGGACAGTCTCCTGGGACAGAACCAGTTTGACTTCCCAGGTTCTGATACCACTTGTAACACCCCCGACCGCCCCTACCGGCGAGTCACCTATCCCTCCGTCGGGCTCGTGGGCCCCGTTCCTGTCCGACGATCGGTGCGTTATTTTTTCCGGAGCCCAACCGACTTATTTACTGACCCTGCAATCACCACATGATCTTTTCCCGTGTTTTAGCCTCACTCACAAGGTTTCGGGAATCACTTCCTGAAAGGTCACCCATCCTAGTCCTGCTCCAGCTCAAGCACGCTTAACTCTGGAGTTCTCTTAGACCCACTAACCGAAAAGATAATTACTTGTAACACCCCCGACCCCCCTACTGGCGAGTCACCCATCCCTCCGTAGGGCTAGTGGGCCCCGCTCCTGTCCGACGGTCGGTGCATTATTTTTCCCGGAACCCAACCGACTTATTTACTGACCCTGCAATCACCACATGATCTTTCTCCGTGTTTTGGCCTCACTCACACGGTTTTGGGAATCACTTCCCGAAAGGTCACCCATCCTAGTCCTACTCCAACTTAAGCACCTTTAACTGTGGAGTTCTCTCGGGACCAGTGATCGAAAAGATAAATACACTTTGGTGATATAGATAGCCAAATTAATACATTTAAACTTATTCAAATGGATCGGGCCCGGGTCGTTACAATTCTCCCCTACTAAACGGGAATTCATCCCCGAATTCTGATCCCGACATTATGAGCCATAACCCACAAACCCTAGGACAGTCTCCTAGGACAGAACCAGTTTGACTTCCCAGGTTCTGATACCACTTGTAACACCCCCGACCGCCCCTACCGGCGAGTCACCTATCCCTCCGTCGGGCTCGTGGGCCCTGTTCCTGTCCGACGATCGGTGCGTTATTTTTTCCGGAGCCCAACCGACTTATTTACTGACCCTGCAATCACCACATGATCTGTTTAGTAGGGGAGAATTGTAACGACCCGGGCCCGACCCATTTGAATAAGTTTAAATGTATTAATTTGGCTACCTATATCACCAAAGTGTATTTATCTTTTCGATCACTGGTCCCGAGAGAACTCCACAGTTAAAGGTGCTTAAGTTGGAGTAGGACTAGGATGGGTGACCTTTCGGGAAGTGATTCCCGAAACCGTGTGAGTGAGGCCAAAACACGGAGAAAGATCATGTGGTGATTGCAGGGTCAGTAAATAAGTCGGTTGGGTTCCAGGAAAAATAATGCACCGACCGTCGGACAGGAGCGGGGCCCACTAGCCCTACGGAGGGATGGGTGACTCGCCAGTAGGGGGGTCGGGGGTGTTACAAGTAATTATCTTTTCGGTTAGTGGGTCTAAGAGAACTCCAGAGTTAAGCGTGCTTGAGCTGGAGCAGGACTAGGATGGGTGACCTTTCGGGAAGTGATTCCCAGGACAGTCTCCTAGGACAGAACCAGTTTGACTTCCCAGGTTCTGATACCACTTGTAACACCCCCGACCGCCCCTACCGGCGAGTCACCTATCCCTCCGTCGGGCTCGTGGGCCCTGTTCCTGTCCGACGATCGGTGCGTTATTTTTTCCGGAGCCCAACCAACTTATTTACTGACTCTGCAATCACCACATGATCTTTTCCCGTGTTTTGGCCTCACTCACAAGGTTTCGGGAATCACTTCCCGAAAGGTCACCCATCCTAGTCCTGCTCCAGCTCAAACACACTTAACTCTGGAGTTCTCTCAGACCCACTAACCGAAAAGATAAGTGCACTTTGATGACATAAGTAGTCAAATTAATCCATTTAAACTTATTCAAATAGGCCGGGCCTAGGTTGTTACAGGAAACCTCTGCTTTACAATCTTTGCTTTCTCGAGAAAATATAACACTTGCAAAAGTTTATACTTAGGCCATAAAAACAAAAAAGGACCATGTTCATTGGAATTCTACAAAGAATGTCAAGTACTCTGTTAAATCAGGCTACCGATTTTTGCGTAATCACCCTCTATTTCATTTAAATGCTCCTGATATACCGTTTGAAGATCTATTATTGAAGAAGCGTATATGAAAGCTTAACATTATGCCTAAGTTAAAGCATTTTCTATGACAAATGTTATCTAAAGCCCTTGCAAGTGCTACAAGACTCCATAGATATGGCATTGCAATTGACGAAACATGTACACAATATGATTTAGAACTAGAAACAATTCACCATTTATTCTTTACATGTATGCTCTCTATCTCCACCTGGAGGCTTTCCAAAACCCCATTCAATTTTCTCACTATTCCCTCTCATGATACTGAAACAATCATTAAAATGTTGCTTGGTGTACAAGAAATTAAAGGTTTATCTAAGGAGGTAAAGTTTTTATCAATTTGAATTTTGTGGAGGATTTGGAAATTTGGCAACCATTTAATCTTCTGAAAAGAAAGAATTAAAATTGGGAGAGATGTGAATAAGGCCAAAACAGATGTGAAAGAATGAATAAAAGTAAACTCCTATGGTGTATGCAGATTCTGGGGAACAACAAGTACGGGACAAAGTTTTTCAAGTCTTGAAACAGAGAGCAAAACTCTTTTGGTGGCTTTACAAAATATTTGGAGAATGTTCTTTTGGTAGCTTTACAGAATATTTGGACAAAATTCTTTTGGTGGTTTTACAAATTATTTGGACAAATTTTAATAGATTTATGTTTGGATTTCGATAAAATTGTAAACTGCTTTACTTTTAATGGATTTCAATATAATCAGAAAACGATCAAAAAAAATTGATCTAAACTCGGACAGAACAGAATCAGACCCGAAAAAAAAACAGAATAAATCATATCATCTAAAACTGAAATATCCTAAACTTAACAAATATTCAGTTTCATAAATGTCAAAAAAAAAAAAACAAAGAAATAGATTCTTTACGCGTGGAATTGAGATCTCGTACATAATTCTAGTAGTTAATGAAAACGTCAACATTTCTTTATGGGAAAGGGTAATTTGGTGAAGCTACAAAACCCAAATTTTGAAATTTAAAAAACAAATCAAATACTAAACCGGCTACAGTAGGTAATCCTCCAACTAATACCGTCACGTGTCCAGTACATTAAAAGGGACGATCACATGCTAAGAGAATAATTAAAAGTATTTAAAATTCTTTTTTCAAAAAATAATTCTTTTTTTTCAAAAGCATCCAATAGGCAAAGGCGGTACTTGATTCAAATATTCACCAGTTGGGATATAAAGAGACAGAGAGATAATCCTCCGTGGACGACAAAATAATAAAAAATCCTCCGTGTCACAGTGTATTATAATATTTGTTTTCTTTATATTTTAATATAAAAATACACACCATTTACAAGTTTTTAAAGCTTTCTTTTGAAACAGAAGAAGAGTAGCTACCACTCCACTCTTTTCGTCGTCTCTCTATACATATGCTTCCGTGTGTTTTTACTCTTCATTTGTCTCTCGAATCGCTTTTACTAAATCATTGTTGTTGCTTCGAACCATTTAATCTACAACAAACGTACTATCTCTCTCTTTCTCTCTCCCATTTCTTTGGATTTCGGTTGTTTTTTTGGAGTTTTTGTTGATTTTATTTTTGGTGAAGAATCGTGAAATCGTGATGGAGAAAAACACGCCGGTGAGGAAACCACACACATCGACGGCGGATCTACTCACTTGGCCGGAAAATCAACCGTTCCAGTCTCCCGCCGCCGCAGCTTCTCGCTCTGCAACCAGATCGCACCAGGTACTTCTACTATTTCAGTTAATTTGGCGATCTACTCACTCACTCTTGATTTTTGTTTTTGAAATTTTGAATTTGATTCATTCTTATTTTTGTTTTTTTTTTAAACTCACTCGCGAATATGATTCGTTTTGACATTTGTTTCTGAAAATAAAATTGATCCATTCTGGTTTTGATTTTTGTAATTTAAATTTGATTCGTTATGATTTTTTGGTAAATTGACTCCGATTCGTTATGATTTTTGTTTTTTTTTTAAAAAAAATTTAATTGGGGGAAATAATCGTAGCCGTCGGATGGAATCAGCAAAGTGGTGTTTGGAGGACAAGTTACAGACGAAGAAGTTGAGAGCTTGAACAAGAGGTGAGAGAGATCTAACCTTTTTTTTCAAATTAGAGGAAAAGCAAACAAACCGTACTGTTTTGATATAATTATTAAATGCGGAACAAACAAGTACCAAGAATCTGTCAATTTTACATGAATGATGATCCTAGATGATCCTGTCGTTATTGGACCCTATAGAATGTTTTTTTGTGTGTGTTTCTTTGGTTAGGAGAGAATTTTATAATTATGGTAGTCTCTTTAATTAATTTCCTTTTTTTCACCTTGTTTGTAACATTCAGGCTTCCCTAATTTTGTCCCTCTCTCCAAATGAATAGAAAATTGAAATCTAATTCCATTTTTTTTTTTTGTCACAATCTAATTCCATTCTATTCTGGGTAATTACGACATAACTCTATCAGATTTGGGTTTATTTCTGTTGTTAATTACATGTGGAAATGGTTTTTTTGTAGGAAGCCTTGTTCAAACTACAAGATGAAAGAGATCACAGGGAGTGGAATTTTCTCTGTGTATGAGGAAACTGATGCTTCTGAAACAGGAAATGAATATCTGGGCACTAACGGCAAAACAAGAATATACCAGGTTTGGTTCTGCTTCTTCTTCTTGAGAAGTTTGATTATTTATTGATCAATGTGTGTGTGTGTGTGTGTGTGTGTGTGTGTTTGTGTTTTGATTGTGTTCAGCAACCACCAGCGGCAATTATAAGTCACATTTCGTTCGGGGAAGAAGAGATTGTTACACCAAAGAAACCAGCGACGGTGCCTGAAGTGGCGAAGCAGCGTGAGCTCAGTGGTACTTTGCAGAGCCAATCTGATGCTAAGCTTAATAAGCAATTCTCAGATTCTAAGTTTAAGGAACTAAGTGGTCATAACATCTTTGCTCCACCACCTGAAATCAAACTCCGTCCTACTGTTCGTGCTTTGGCTTATAAAGACAACTTCGACTTGGGCGAATCCGATACCAACCCCGTAAGACTCTAGAAAAACTACCACGTACTCCGTCTTATATTAAAAATATCCCGCATCGGAAGTTAAAATGATTCAACATTAGTAGATCACTCACAATTTCTTTTAATTCGCAGGACGGGGAATTGAAGACGGCCAAGAAGATTCCGGATAGAAAATTCACGGATTTGTCGGGAAACAATATATTCAAAGGAGATGGTACTTCTCCGGCCGCGGCTACGGCCGAGAAACTTCTAAGCACGGCAAAGTTGAAGGAGATAAGTGGCAATGACATATTTGCAGATGCAAAGGCTCAGTCCCGTGACTACTTCGGTGGCGTACGCAAACCACCAGGTGGTGAAAGCAGCATTGCTTTGGTCTAAAGAAGAATTTCAAATCCACCGTACCCAAAAATAATTATTTAGTTCAAAAATTTGAAATTTATCTACAAACTTAGAAGGTCTAACTATTTATGATTTCATTATTAGATTACATGTACTTTTGGATGTTTCTATTTCTGTGTTTCCGGATTTGTGTGATTGGTTTATGAATTGATCGAGATAGGTAAATGATCGGAATTTGTGGAGTTTCTTACCGGAAAGCTAATCTGGTCTGTTAGGACTTTATGGTTTGACTATGACTCATTGTCTTGTCTTCTGTATTTGTTGGCAACTAAAAACAATTGGGTATTTTATTGATTATATTGATTATTACGGGCCTAATTTGTTCTTTATCGAAAAGGTTGTGTACCGTTTCTGCAAAAGCCGTCGTAGAGGTTTGGCACAGTGGCCAGTGGGTGGGACTGAGCAGATATCTTGGTAAAAATGAGTTGTAACTGTTAAATGGATCGTGATTATCCATTTGCTTTTGTCTTTATACATTATTATATTTAAAGATAATGTTTATTCATAAATTTTAGATAATGTTTATCTATATATTTTGGATAATATTTATTTATATGTTTTGTTTTTATACATTAACTTACTTCACTATGAAGTATGGTTTTTCCTATAAATAGGTGACTTAATTCTTTGTAAAATCATAAGTTCAGAAGAAGAAAAAAATGAAGTTCTTATGTTTATATTTCTCTCTTTCTCTTTGAAGTTCAAAATATCTTAAACTCTTCTTTGCTTTTCTTTATAAAACATTAGTTTACAACACGTTATCAGCACAAGCGTCTCTTGACTTGTCTATATATCAGAGAGGTAAGATTTATTTATGTTTAATTTTTTTTCAATATTATGATTTACGGAAAGATAGGCTATGCCTTCTCCGTTTATATGTTATGTTGGGATGGAAGGCTATGCCTCCTCTGAGCTGATCGTTATGGTAGGCGCTGCCTCCACGATCAAATAATTATATCGTTTATCATGCTGGGATGATAGGTTATGTCTCCTCCGAGCTGATCATTATGGTAGGCACTGCCTCCACGGTCAAATAATTATATTGTTTATTTATTATACCGGGATAGTAGGCTCTGTCTCCTCCGAGCTGATTGTTATGGCAGGCTTTGCCTCCACAATAAAAATGATCACATGGCAGACTATGTCGCCTCAGATCATATTTATTTATTTATTTATTGTGTAGGAGATTAAAATCCCCATCTTTGTTCATTTATTTATTATGCAATCAGCAATTGCATGGTAGGCTCTACCTCCTTATATTGCTTTAAATTATTGTCTTTTATTATGCCGTTACCATGCTCAGTTTTTTATAACTAATTTTTATTCAAATTAAATGGGTTAAGTTTTTGTTATTCAGTAATAATGTCAAATTTGTCAAAGCTCGAGATCGCCGCCCTTGACTTGTGTGGAAAGAATTATATGCATTGGGCGGTAGGTGCAAAGTTGCATCTAAAGGGAAATGGTCTCTTGAGCACTATCGATAAGTCGAAAACGACGTCGGATGAGGCTAAGGCAAAAGCCATGATCTTTTTACGCCACCATATCCATGATGGTTTAAAAGATGAATACATCACGAAAGAAGATCCGGCAGATCTTTGGCTATCGCTTAAGAGTCAGTTCGATCACCAGAGGTATGTGATCTCACCGAAAGTGAGGCACGAGTGGTTGAAACTCCGGTTCCAGGATTACAAAAGTGTGAGTGAATATAATTCCGCGCTGTTCGGAATCACCTCCAGGATGACGTTGTGTGGAGAATATATCAGTGAATATGATATGTTAGAGAAAACTCTCTCCACTTTTCATCCTGAAAATGTAATCCTGCAGCAGCAATACCGGGCAAGAGAACTCACCCAGTTTTCGGGAGTTGATGCAGGTCCTCCTTGTAGCTGAACAAAATAATCAACTAGTGATGTTGAACCATCAGACTCGTCCAACTGGATCTATGCCATTCCCTGAAGCGAATGTTGCATCATCCAGTCAAAGTGATAAGAAGCCACGACATGATCGCATACGCGGGCCCGGTTGCGGTCGCGGTTGAGGGCGTGGACGAGGAAGGGAAAGTGATGATGGTCAGGACGTTAGAAGACAAGGTGACACCCCTTGCTTCAGATGCGGCTTGAAAGGGCATTGGGTACGAACGTGTCGTACGCCAAAACATTTCGCTGATCTGTATGCAAAATCACAAAAGGCCAAAGAAAAGGATGCAGAGACCAACTTTATCTTAGATGAAGCTGGAACTTCCTTTGATGGCTTGAGTGATGACACTCATCTTGATGTTGCTGACTTTCTTGTTGATCCTGAAGAATCAACAAAGTCAAAGAAACTCAAATCGTAATAGTGTCTCCTTGTTAGAGACAAGAATAACAAACTCTTAATCTTGCTTTTAGTATGTATAATATACTATGTTTATGCTACAGGTTTTTGATGTAATATATTGACCTGTTATTTTTTAAGTTGATGTTCTTTTAATTATTGCATCATTTATAAGTATTGTGACCTAGAAGATGTCACACATTGAGATTCGGGATGGAGATACTTGTCTAGCAAACAGTGCTACGACACATACAATACTTAAAAATAAAAAATATTTCTCATGTCTCAAAATGAAAGTCTCCGCCGGAAGCGTGAGTACTATAACTGGTATTGCAAAAATTATACTAGGCTCCCGAAGAGCAAGTTTTTCATTGCCAAGGGGTACAGAGTTTGTAGTGAAAGATGCATTATACTCTTCCGAGTCTCAATGGAACTTATTAAGTTTTCAAGATATCCACAGAAATGGATATCATATTGAGACTATTAATAAGAATGACTCTGAATATCTTTGCATTACAATGGAGAGTAAATATCAGTTGGAAGAGTTACCAATGATGTCCTCCGGATTATATTGCACAAAGATAACCATGGCTGAATCACATGTTGCGGTAAATCAAAAGTTTACCAGCACTTTCAGAGTATGGCATGAAAGGTTAGGTCATCCTGGTTCAGTCTTGATGAGAAGGATTGTGCAAAATTCGAGTGGCCACCCATTGAAAAACCAGAAGATTTTTCAATCGGGGGAGTTTTCATGTAAAGCATGTTCTCAAGGAAAACTCATATGTAGGCCCTCGCCAGCCAAAGTTGGGAATGAATCCCCTGTATTTTTAGAGAGAATACATGGTGCTATATGTGGGCTGATTAATCCACCGTGCGGGCCATTTAGATATTTCATGGTATTGATTGACGCATCAAGTAGATGGTCACATGTGTGTCTTTTGACCACAAGAAATATGGCTTTCGCAAGATTCATTGCCCAAATAATCAGGTTGAGAGCGCATTTCCCTGATTATGCCATAAAGAAAGTCAGGCTTGATGACGCTGGTGAATTCACTTCAGCGGCCTTTAATGACTATTGTATGTATTTGGGAATCGATGTTGAGCATCCGGTTCCGCATGTTCATACACAAAATGGCATGGCTGAGTCATTGATTAAGCGGTTGCAATTAATTGCAAGACAGTTAATCTTGAGAACAAAGCTTCCAATCACTGTATGGGAACATGCTATATTGCATGTTGGGGCATTGGTCCAGGTAAGACCAAGTGCGTATAATGAATATTCCCCTATACAATTAGCATTTGGCCAGAAGCCAGATGTATCCCATCTTCGTGTGTTTGGGTGTGCGGTCTATGTCCCCATAGCGCCACCTCAAAGAACAAAAATGGGACCACAAAGAAGATTGTGAATATATATCGGGTACTCGTCACCAAGTATAATTAGGTATCTTGAGCCGGTAACTGGTGATATGTTCACGGCACGGTTTGCCGATTGCCACTTTGATGAAAGTGAATTCCCTGCGTTAGGGGGAGGATTGAGAGAATCACCAAATGATATCACATGGTGTACAAAAACTTTGGCTTATCTTGATCCTCCTACAAACCAACGCGAGGTGGAAGTTCAGAAAATTATACATATACAAAGATTGGCAAACCAGTTACCTGATGCATTCACTGATACAAGAAGGGTGACAAAGTCCTATATCCCCGCTGCTAATGCTTTATCAAAGATAAATGTTCCTGAAGAAAATATTGATGTAAATAGAGCAAATGAACCAGTGCAGCTAAAGCGCGGGAGGCCAGTAGGATCAAAAGATAAAAATCCTCGAAAAAAAAGAAATTGGAAGCAAAGGTTATAGAAGAACCAAATAAAGCCAAATGTCCTGAAGACATTTATGAAAAGGTTCATGAAGAACCAAATGAAGGTATATGTCCGGAAGACATATCTGAATCAGTTCCTAAAGAACTAGGTAAAGAGGTTTGTCCTGAAGACGAATGTGAAGCAGAAAAATATGAGATTTCCATCTTCTTCGCCCAAAGTGGAAAATTATGGGCTAGAAGTGAAATAGAAGATAATGATGGAATGTTCTCTTTTTCTGTTTCCAAAGAGATCGATCATAAAAATGGTGATCAAGATCCAAGTTCCGTGTCAGAGTGCCAAAGAAGGCCAGACTGGGATAAATGGCAAGTTGCCATGAGGGATGAGATATTCTCCCTTAATAAACAGAACGTATTCGGACCGATAATTATTGCACCTGGAGATGTAATACCGATCAGATACAAATGGGTCTTTGTAAGAAAGAGAAATGAGAAAAATGAGGTCACACGGTATAAAGCTCGCCTTGTGGCACAAGGATTTTCTCAAAAACCAGGAATAGATTATGAAGAGACATATTCCCCGGTCATTGATGCAATCACATTCAGGTACTTAATGAGCCTAGCGGCCTCTAATAATTTAGAGATGTACTTGATGGATGCTGTGACTGTATACCTATATAATTCACTTGATAGTGACATATACATGAAAATCCATGAAGAATTTAAGATCCCTCAAGGATCAAAGATGCCTAAAGCATCTAAAGAACTATGTTCGGTCAAACTACAGCGATCACTTTACGGATTAAAGCAATCCGGACGCATGTGGTATAATTGCTTAAGTGAGTATTTGT